CTGCTGTGGTTTTGGTACTGCTGAGTGGGTCTGATCCACAGCGGCCAGGTGTGCTAGAAGACAGCAAGTGAAAACCCAAACGGTGTCTACCTCTTTGATTTGTTTCGCTGCGAACTCGGGTCAAGATGAACACCTGACCATTATCGGTATTCCATACGAGGTCTGGTTAATCAATTGTTTTTTTTCTCTGCCTACAAACAATGGACTTTCTTAGGCTAATGGAGTTCTGAGAAGAGGTAAAGAAGTCATGTCCACAGGTATTCGAATATAGAAACTGGCATCCAATATGCATTCAAGAAGCCTAAGCTTCCTTAATTGAGTTTTTAAAACCTTAGTGGGGTCTCTCGCATCCTGCTGCTGGGAGGGTGAACTGACATGCCGACTGATCTGCTATTTCTCACATCCCAATTTTAACACATAGTAAGGAAATAAGAGCACAGACGTAACTACATCAAGTGATGAATCAACAATAGTGGTGCCCACTGGATGTGCTAAGAGTAGAGTTCTACACATTTTTCACTTTGCATTAATTTTCTAAGGCGAGCATAGACTACACTCACGAGCGAGACCACCCAAAGGGGAAAATGAAAAAGCTTTGTGGGGCACATATTTTTCCTGGTTGTCATATCACCACAGTCCAAATGGACACTAAGACAGCCAAATCTCTACCTGAAACATTTTAAGCCCAACAGAATCCAACGCAATAGAAAATCCAATATAATAGAAAGTGTAACCCCCAACCGCAGGCCTGTGCTTTCTCCACTGAGGCCTGATTGGCAGGGCTGTTGAGAGCCTGCTGGGACAGCCAGAATCTGTAAACAGTGAGGGAGGCAGATGGTGTGTGTGTGTGTGTGTGTGTGTGTGGGGGGGGTTCTGCCAGTCCTCCTTGCTGGCACCCAAGGCCAGCTCCGCCAGGCCAGCCACTGACCCCATTCTCTCCCTGTGGCCGGCCTGGGTCAGCTTACTTTTCCTTCAGTGGGAAATGACTTTTGCACGAGAGTCAGTGAGCTGGCTGGAGGAGGGAAGGATGGAGGGCAGGGGAGAAGGAAGGGACTTGAAGGATTAATGAGCTGATTTCCATTAGGGCTTTGACATCTTGGAATGACTAGCAGCCTGTAAGAGTAGAAGCCCAGTCCTTTACTCAGGCTATGTTGCCAACTGGCCATTTATCACCCAAAATTCCCCAACAACTCCATGGCCATGGTTTAATCACCTCATCTAAATCCCTATTAATCTTGCAAAGTCAAAACACAAACATACGACAAAAGTCTTTATTTTAGGCGCCCTCAACTTCAGGGTCAAGATTTCAAAATGAACTGGTTGTCCAATGGTTCCAGTGATGGTTTTTTTTTCCCCCTTTAAATCTTTGGGCAGAAGGGACAAGTAAATGACACTCCTACTGATGATTTTGTAGCTATTAGACTGAATCAACTCAGGCGAATAAGCAAGTAAGTTACAGAAGGAAAAAGGTACTGGTGCTCACTTGGTGCTCAAACACTGCTTTATTTTATTTGTTTTCCCCAATAACATTAATGTCTTATAGCTAATACTCAAGAGACACAGAAAAGCCTTAGTTGGTTCAAAGGAATATTTATTCCTCTTTCAGGTGTCCATTAGTGGAACACACGGAAACCTCCTCCTCAACTGCATTTTGAATATGTTGCATCATATTGGCTTTCTTTTTTTTTAAAAGAAAATATTCTAAAATTTATTGTGGTGATGACTGTATAACAATTCTTGATATGACTGAACTATTTAATTATATGATATTTGGATTATGTCCCAATAAAGTTGTTTTTTTTAATCATTTTATTAGGGGCTCACATAACTCTTATCACAATCCATACACACATCAATTTGTAAAGCACATTTGTACATTCATTGCCCTCATCATTCTCAAAACAGTTCCTCTCCACTTAAGCCCCCCCACCCCATTAGGTCCTCATTTTTCCCCTCCCTCCTCCCTCCCCACTCCCTCATGAGCTCTTGATAATTTATAAATTGTTATTTTGTCATATCTTGCCCTGTCCGACATCTCCTTTCACCCACTTTCCTGTTGTCCGTCCCCCAGGGAGGAGGTCACATATAGTTCCTTGTAATCGGTTCCCTCTTTCCTACCCACTCTCCCTCTACCCTCCCAGTATCGCCACTCACACCATTGGTCCTGAAGGGATCATCTGCCCTGGATTCCCTGGATTTCCAGTTCCTATCTGTACCAGTGTACATCCTCTGGTCTAGCCAGACTTGCAAGGTAGAATTCACATCATGATAGCAGGGGCGGGGAGGAAGCATTTAGGAACTAGAGGAAAGTTGTATTTTTCATCGTTGCTACATCACACCCTGACTGGCTTGTCTCCTCTCCGAGACCCCTCTGCAAGGGGATCTCCAGTGGCCTACAAATGGGCTTTGGGTCTCCACCCCGCCCTCTTCCCCCCTCATTCACTATGGTAACATTCTTTCATTCTGATGATGCCTTATACCTGATCCCTTCGACACCTCGTGATTCCATAGGCTGATGTGCTTCTTCCATGTGGGCTTTGTTGTATATTGGCTTTCAAGGGACAGGCTGGGGCACATGTGAAGACAGGAGTCTGTTTGGAGACGGGGACCAGGAAGAGCCTGGAAATGGAGCGACTGGTGCACACACATCCCGGAGACTTTCAGGGCAGGGCGTTGTGTGGCAGGTTTGAGGCTTCCTCCCTTATGCCCAATTCTATAGTTGCCCACTCGCGAACCTCCAGGTTACACTGTCAAGGCTGAGGACAGTACCGCAAGGTGACACACGCTTTTGGAATGCACTTTGCTTTGGCAGTATGTTCTCCTTCCTAACGTTATTCCAGGCGCTGAACACATCCTAATGAACACTAGTGAGAGCCGGCTGGGAAACACGAGGGAAGCGGGTGTTAGGAACCTCTACGGACCACCCACATAGTGGGACCTTCACACTGGAGAATAGAGAGCTGACCACTCTGGAAACCGAAAGGCGGCTTTCCTGGACTCCGGGCAAGGCAGGCAGGCGGACACCCAGCCAATTGCCAGTGATTCATGTCTTTGTTTTCTAGGGCTGGAGAGCCATGGAGAACATCAGAGGGAGGGGTGAAGATGATGAAAATAGCAAGAGGGACCATGGAGAAGGTTACCAGAGGCCAGGAGAACTTCTCCAAGTTGAAGGGGAAGTTGAGCAGTAGCTGAGTCACCCCTCTGCAGGCACTGCACGGAGTGAAGGCCAGCAACGCCCCCTCACCTGACGAGGAGGAGGCCGAGGGCTGGTAGAAGGCGAACGTCTGTGAGACCCAGCTAGGGGAGTGAGCTACGGTGACAGGGACTTCTTCCTTACAGAGCTTCAACAGTGAGGCTTCTGTCCTGGGGCAGTCCTGGCGGGAGGCAGGGTTTCCAGCAGGTGCCAATCTCCATAAATAATACCCAGCAGGATCTGCCTTTTGATTGGGGAATAGCTAAGGGCACAAAGGTGCTCCTGGTTTATCTGCCCTGTCTTCCCAGGAAATGCATCTTGGGCAGGTACATCTCGGAGTCACCCAGAAGGCACAAAGACACTAGGCTTAAGGAAAGCAGTCTATGGCTAACCAATGTTACTTTTTTAGTATCAGGGGAAGGGAGAAAACAAAAACCAGAGTTAGAACTTCCTCATCAATATCCCCATCCCAAGCCTTTGGGGTTTCGACAAACACGAACACACAGCTATGCACACAGTGGGGCATCCTTCCCTGGCTCGTGTCCACCTAAAAGTTCCAGGTAGGAGTGTTTGCTATGTGGCCTCCTTGTAGTTATTCACGTGCCTTGTATCTTTAGGTAGCAGGAGAGCTAACTTTTATGGCGTCTCTACACCCACAATGCCATTTCATACAACCGTGTCTCTGCCTATACCGCCACCAAAGCCTACCTTGTCTACTGGGCAAAAGTCTATTCATCTCCTAAGGGCCAGTTCGCCATCGGCTCTCCCCTGCCCCTCCTCTGGGATATTCCTGTACCTACTATCGACATTTACTGCTAGACTTACCACATCAAAGTAAGCTTTTTTCTTTAATCCGCGTATCTTTCTCCCAACCTGGATGTGAGCTCTGTTAAACCACAGCCTCGCCTCCCTGGGTCTTTGCAATCTAACCCACAGCGTGGCATGTCGCCTGCTCTCCAGATGACGTCACTGAATTGCACTGAGCTGTGGGCCTCAAATAAGGTGGGGGACCCAACTAAAGGACCTGATTTTGAAAAGCAAAAAAGGGGGTCTGCTGAATTAGGTAGCGAAGACACAGAGCCTGTATCACATGCAATGTGTCCTAGCACAGGAGCGGGTAGCAGGAAAGCCTCTTCCGGACCCACTGCTGGAACTGGCAGAAGAAATCATCCCAGGGGGTTCTTGTGCCAACACTGTCCTTCACCAACAGGGTCCTGAGACATTCATTTTGAATAGAGGACTACTTAGAGGGCTCTAGGGGAATTCATTGAGAAATTCTTTGTACTCTAGTTCTAAAACCAAAAAACAATGACAAGGATGGGGGGAGGGAAGTGCCCACCCTTCATGGCCCCAAAATGACAACGTCCATCTAAAACTGACACCTTCCACCCCTTCCTTCTATTCACATCCCGTCTGTCCATCAGTGTCTGTTCAAGTCTTACACTGACCTTTAACCCCTGAACTGCCACGGTGCCAGGAGTCTGTGCCACTTGAGTCTGGTCTGTCACTGTTTGGGTATCTAATGCAGGGCTGGGCACATAGCAGGGATGAATAAGAATGGGCTGGTTTGTGGGCAGAAATACAGCCATAACACAAGCCCCTCCGTCAGGCAGGAGCTGAAGAAAAGTTATCAAGAAAATATTTTTCTTTCTTTACCACAGCCCAAAGACCTAAAGGATAAATATGCCAATAAGTTTAACAAACGCATGCCAATGACTTTCTGAAACTCCCCACCACTAGAAACGGCAATTCTTCCCTGTCCTTCTAACCCCTGATAGCGCCTAGCTCAAGTGGGGCTGTAACATACCTCGTGGCCAGCCAGAGTTTGGCTTTGGTACAAAGAGTGATGTCAGTCAACTCCTGCTGAAAGTCTGAATTCGTTCTGTGTTTGGAGTCTGCGTAGGCTTGTAACAAATGAAAAACCTAAACCGAAGAAAAAAGAAAAAGCAATATCCTGCTGTGAAAATATATTTTTCCTAAATGCACCGCTCCTCCCTTTTAGCTTTCTTTAAACTATTCCCCTCAGAGAAAACGGGCACCTGCAGAAGGCGGCTGGGTCCTGGGTCCTGGGAGCAAGCAGCCTGTTGGTTTTGGAGAACACAGGGGTGGTGAGAAACCAGCCTCCTTCATCTGTTGCTGCGACTGGGCTCCCGGCACAGCTCCAGAAAAAGGCCACCACTTTGTGACCAAGCCATCATTTGCAGCAAGGGCTTAGTCGCGAGGCACCACTGCACACCGAGTCCCAGGAAGAAACGCCAACACCCTTCTCAATGGGAGCAGACGCGCAGGGAGAGAAAACCTGCCTTTCTTTTCAAGTCCACACTGGCTTCCATGGCTCGGTTCACAGAGCAGGCTTGGCCAAAGGCGTGGCCATGGTTAACGCATGCCAGCCTTTGCAGACAGTGGTCTCCATACGTTTGGTTTGGGGCAGGGCAGATCGCCACTAAGGAGATGGGAGTAAGAGGCCACACTGCAGACGTGACCCTCTCGTCAGCGGACATGGCGTTATATCCTGGAATGAAGAGCCATGCTGGAATCTAGCTGCCTGCATTTAGAAAGATGGCCACCATTCCTTCCAGCAGACACACGCATGTGCAGATGTGTGTGTGTACCCATGTGCATGTGCGTGTCGGAGCCCCGCTGTGAAGAGTTCACGCCCACAGCAGGGAAAGGGAGCGAATGAGGATCAAGGAGATCTTTAGACGGGATGCAAGTTAGAGAAGCCCTCCCGCCCCCTTAGCGCCCTGGAGGAGGGCAGGTGCGCTGAGCGGAGCAAGGCTGATGAGCGCACCTGGGCACCGGGAGCGCCCGTTCGAAGGGATGGGTTTACTTTCTCTCCTTGTGACATCCTTCAGAGCCGCAGACGAGTCTTTCTAAGCGACCAGACTGAACTTGTCCTTGCTTTGCCCTCTGGTCAGCGAGCAGCTATCTCTGAAGTGAACAGGGAGGGCTGGGTATTTGAGAGTAATGAGAAAAAGCCAGGGGCCGAGATGACAGAGCCACGAACAGGGAGGGCGTGGGCAGGCTCTCCCGGGTGAGACGCCTGCAGTTCTCAACAAGTGCACGTCGGGCATGCCCGCCTGAGGGGGACTTCAGAAAGTACGTGGAAAAACACCATTCTCTTTTAAGTCCACTCTTCCATGAAGTTTTTGAAGCACCCCCCCCCCGCCCCCCGCTATTTATTTATAAATCAAAAATGAATTTTTATTTCCATGTTCTAAGTAACCATTGTTGTCTGTCCTCCCTCCCCACCCCCCACTCCCCTCCATTCACTGGAGTTGTACTGGAGACTGTATCCCGTCCTGATTTGGAGACTAAACATGCTTTCTCTAATAATGGACCTGTTACTTCAGAAGCGGCATATCACGTGTCACTACCTCACCACAGCCCCGCAGGGACCTAAACCCACAGCAGGCTGTGCCGTCAGGAGCAGTGGGTCTCGCTGGGGCCTGTGCTATTCTGTGCTGATGGTCAGAGGCAAGGGGGATAATCCCAAAAGGCACAAAGAAACTTCCCTCTGCCCCAGTCCCCACGCTCCCGAAAGAGCTGGCAAAGCCACTCTCCACAGCTGCACAAAACCAACCTCCCGGGCTTTCTGGTGTCACGAGAACGTAATTAATCAGCAGACACCAGCCGAAGACTCTGCAGAAAGCTGTGAGATTTTCAAATGCCCCTCTCGCATTTAGAAGACAGCACTTCAAAAGTAACTCTTGATGGATGTGAAACGTAGCCCCGTATTTGCTCTCTTCCTTGGCAAAAACAAGACTGTTTTTGCAGTGCTGGGTAGCTCTGGCTTTAGAAAAGCAGCCCCCAGGCCCGGGGCAGACAGCTCTGTGATGCTGGTGACTCCCTGCGGGTGGGCGGGAGCCACTCACATGGTCCCGGAGGAGAGGTATGCACAGGGACAGCACAGACCAATACCATGGAAAGACGGGGTCAGAGAAATCCTGGGGCAGGGATGGAGAGGGGAGCACAAAGGCGGGGTGGGAGACACATGGAGGTGACAGAAGAGCACTTTAAGCAAATGATCACGTGGGTTATTGCTTGTGAGACACCTTTTTACCTCCATAAGGAAATCACTAAAAGCATCCGCACACACGATTATCCGCATATGACACTTGGTGTTGGGCTCGGTGCGTTCAGGGAAATGAGGCTGTCCCCAGGGGTGGGGGAATGACAACCATGGACATCCAGGAATGAGGCCAGGCCTCTGGGGCACAGTTCCAAGGTCAGGTCGAGGGGGCCTCAGTGGCTCTCAGGGAGCATCCCGTGTGCCAGCTCTTAAAGGACGGCGAGAGCAAGGCGCCACCTTCACCCCCAAGTTCTTGTCGAGAAGAACTTCTGCGCTAAGAGAATGGTTAGACACAGGTCTGGGAGAATAAAACCAAAATGCCAAATTTAGTACCACTGTGTCAATTTCAACTCACAAGACCGCTTGGGCAGCGCTTGGTAGCTCTGGCTTAACTTGAGCAGACAGCCTCAACTTTCCCCTTCAGAACCGTGGGTGGGTTTGAACCGCTCACGCTGCAGTAGTTTGCAGCCCAACACTTACCCAGGCGTACCACCAGGGCTCCCGGGCAGATGAGGACACAGTGGAGAATACAGGGCTGTGCTACACCAAGCACGGGGGATTAACTGAGTGCACACGGGGACTCAGGCACGTTCAGTGTCTTGCTGGGCTTCCCAAATTAGCAATGGGATTTCAGCATTAAGTCAACAAATACTTATCCAGCAAGTCCCACTGCAGCCCCAGTGCTACTGGCTGTCCTAGGGGCTGAATAAACTGACGATCAGTAGCTTTCCTGCCTGTACCTGGTTGGGATTGAGAACCCGCATGGCAGTGTCACTAACGGTGCTTCTGATGCTTGCCTCTGCCGCCATGCTTGCTGCATGGAACCCAAGAGCAACAGGAATGGAGGTGCTTATTTGAAGCTTCTTCCTACACGAAGGTGACCAGATTGGAACGTTGGTAAAGCGGGACAAAAGCGGGACACCATTGATAAAACTCCTATCTTGGGGAAATAGCCACATGGCAGCCAAAAACCGTATACCCTAGCTTGTCGTGCATGCTTTCCAAAAATTGGGACTTTTTAAAAACTGCGGGATGTGGGAAAATTGTTAAAAATTGGAACTGTCCTGCCAAAAGCGGGACGTCTGGTCACTTTATCCTACACAGACCCGAACCTTTTAGGATACAAGGCTCAAATCCCGTCAACTATGTTTGTCAAGAGATCAACCCCAAGTTCCTAATTTGACTGGACTCCTCATTTGGCAGGGGTGAGAGGAAAGCTTCACCGTCACCGTAAAGAGAAACACTTAACCCGCCTGTGGGCAAAGGTGAAAGGAGCACACACTTGGGTGCTGAAGGGACCTGGGTGTAAATCCAGTGACTCGTTAACTGGGTCTAATAGTATCTATTTTGTGGGATTGGAACGGAAAACGACTCACTGTTGTCAATTGGTGCCGACTCATAGTGAGCGACTCTGTAGGTGAGGGTAGAACTGCCCCTGAGTTTCCAACACTGAAGCCCTTTACGGGAGTAGGGTGCCCCACCCTTCTCCCCGAGGAGTGGATGGTCGTTTCGAACTGCGGACCTTGGGGACTGCAGCCCAATTTGGAACTGCTATGCCACCAGGAGTCCTTGCAGGATTGTAGAGGGATTTAAAAGAATATGAGGGGGCTTCAAAAAGTTCATGGGAAGAGTAGAATGAAAAGACAGTGGGATTTTCCCTTGATCTTTGTGAAGCCCATATGTACATACAGCACTTGGCATACACCAGGGCCACTGGATAAAAATGTTAGTCACCACCACCCCCACTCCCACCCCCACCAGGTCTGGTCTGCTCCTTCCTTTCCAGTCTCCATTCCAGACACAGAGAAGACTTTGGGGGCAGGGTGAGAACCCTATCTGACACTGAACATCCTGCCAGACTTGGAAGACGTGGGCGCAAGCAGAGAAAAGAGTAAGAAAAACGCACTGCTGGTGAGTTGACTTGACTCACTGGAGCCCCACACGACACAGCAGAAATGCATGCTCAGGTTTCCAGGGCTGCACGTCTCCATGGAAGCCCGAGGGTCACATATCTACCTTCCCTGGGGGTCTTCTCACCACTGGCCTTTTGGATAGCAGCTGGCTATTGAGGCCACTAAGGTAAAGAGGGTGAATATTCCAGTATTGGGACTGTCCGGGCAGCAGCGCAGAGTTCTGTGTGAAGAGAACCATCCACGAGGTGTGGACAGTCATGGGAGACAAGGCTGGGAGGAGGTCAAGTTGGAGCAAGAAAGATCTCACATGCAACAAGAAGGAATATGTACTTTAGTCTAGAAAGAGGGCAGGCCTCTTCAGAGAGCACGAGTGCTGTGTGGTCAGAGCTGGGAGTCTGGAAGGCACACAGTATGGGGCTGGACACGGAGGGGCAGGATGGCCAGAGCCCCAGCAACACGTCTAGACTAGAGGTGCTAAGGGTCTAATCCAAGGGCTGAAAACTGAAACCCCGTGGGCTGAGAGTGGCTGCAGATGTTTGGTTTGGCCCAGGCAGTGTTTTCAAACCCACACTTATGAATCAGGAGATTGCACATCAAAATCATCCTGATTTCCAACTTTTTTTGAAAAGTAGGAAGACTTGGCACAAGGGACCCACATTCCCGCACGGCTGCAGCCACCTGGCCTGGGCTGAGGTGCTGCGAAACCCTGTGATGAGGAAGGCAGTCTCCGCTCCACCATGGCTCCCGGGACGTTCCAAGGTGGCGTGGGAATGCCATTTACCACTGCTCCGTGCGGGAGTTCGTTTTTTGTTTTTTTTCCTTGTAGAATATTAAGAAGATTCTGAAACACTTACTGAACCCAAATCTTCACGAGATGTTTGAGAATCGTGGATGGACCCTGGGGGTTGCATGTTTACCCGCACCCCTCTTAATTTACT